ATACTGAGTTAAGATTGTAATTTGAAATGATATTGATTGTGATGACTGGCGCCATCTGTTGATGAAGTACACAAATACAATGTACATACCGTTCAATTACGTACGTTTTTTCCTCTCTAGCCAATTAAGAAAATAAATTTGAAATAAACAACTTAGTGTGTTAAGCAAAATCAAATTTTATTTTATTTGGACATTAATGTTACTACTCACATATACAAATAAATTTAAAAAAAAAACACACCCGATAAGTTTTTGTTTGGAAAACCATTTATAAAAAAACAATCATTAGTTTGAATTTGTTTAATGCTAGAGAATTTTTTTTCGTTTACAATCAATGTTCGTTCTGCATTCAACTGTTTTGTTGGTTTTTGTTTCGTTCTTCGGCCGAGATGAAATCAATAGCGGCTGAATTTATGCAATACCTTTTACGTGTTGGCTTTGGACCATCCTCAAACACGTGACCCATGTGTGCTCCACATTTCGAGCATCTCACTTCCGTCCGGACGCGGTCTGGATTTTTGATTAAAAGGAGTAAATTGGTGCCTGATTTGTTTGTCGATATGATTTTTGATTTGGAGTGAATGTTATGATTTTTTGTGTTTTGAATGTATGTTAGTCGTCAGTCGAATATACGAGTTGTATGCCAACATGAAATGAGTTTTGTGCAAATTAACGAAAAGGGATGGATGGTGTTAGTTATGAGCCGTTATGTTTGGTGTGTGAGTATTTTATATTAATAAATAACATATGAATTCAATGTGAAAAGAGACGAATGTTGATTTAAAAATGAACGATGAACGAAATGAGATTATATTATTATACAAAAAAAAAACAAGGAAATAACAAAGCCAAATCGCAAAAGAAGAAAAGAAAGAAAGAAACAAAGATATAAATAAAGAAAACAAAAGAAATTGCGTGGAAAAAAATAAGATATTAAAATTGGTTTGCCAAATAGTGGAATTTCACGTTGAATATGGTAAAATATCGCCCAAATAATTATTAGTGCGACGATAGAATAAGTGTTTTGCCAGAGCGCGATGATGGATACATTTGAATTGCATGCACAATTTGCCATTGTGTGTGTGCGCGCGCACAATAATTTTCCGATGTTGTGATGGTTTAGAATTTTTGTGGCAAAAGTTCGAAGATTTGTTTGTTTGTTTGTGTTTTGAAGAGTTAAGAATAAAATAAACAAAAGAGAAAAAAGAGAAAAAGTTTGAATTAGATTACCTTCACCATTGCTAATCACCCAATCGCTTACAATTATAACGGCCGAAATCTATTTAATTATAATTCTATTCACACAATTTTAGTAAAAAAACATAAATCTGGCTTTGGTCATAATCACAGAAATTAAGTCATTCCGAAAAGACAAAAAAAGTTATATTCAAAAAAAAACTGAAAAAGTCGAGCCTAATGAGCCACGCCATTCAAAAGGTTATCGTTCAATACAAAAGAGAAATATTAATACCGCTGTTGAATGGCGATATCCATGGAATCAGTCATGCAATATGGCGCTATATAATATTAAGTGAAGAACATATTATGCTCTACTTTTGTTAAACATTCAATAATTTTAAGTGCACCATTTGCTCTCTCTTCAACTATGCAATGGTGAACCTATTTTTGTTCTCTAGCACATTTGTTTATGAAGCGAATAGTTAATAAAATAGTTTCACAGTTTTTTTATTTCACTTTTTTTAGCAATGGAATTGGACTAGAACTGAGTTGAAAGCATTGAAGTAGAGACTGAAAATTAAATTACTTTGGCTTTGCTACACTGAACGATTCGAAGAAAAGAGAGAGAATGATGAAGCGAATTAAACAAACAATGCACCATTGATTTGGATGATTTGAATAGATTTCAATAAACATTGCATATAACAAAGCGTTTAGTCTGCTTAAATTGTTTAGTCTGCCCGCAAAATATCAATTCCATGTATGGCTTCACTTTAGAATCGATGACATTGAAAACGAAAAAAATAATACTGCAATGTCAGAATGGCCAAAATTGGCATGTAAAAAATTATCTATAGAAATGACAAAAAAATGAGCGATTGCTGTTCGTTCAACAACGACAAAAAATTGAGAAAAATAATTGAAAAAAAGGAAAGCAAACACGCATAAATTCACACCACAAAAACCGCAGTTCCGTGTCATTTAAGGCCATAAAGCAAAAAAAGGGACCATAGCATTAAAAATATAAAAATCTGATTGGTGTTATTAAAACGAAAGCAGATATAACAAAAAATCACGAATCAATCGAATGTAAAATGAATGCGCACATATATGTCATCTAATACATCCAACAACTGTATTGTATGGATCAAATTTAATAATTGATCGATTTTTCTTTTGAGTTTGGTTCACTCACACTTCAAACAACAGCAAATGCGTATCGAATATATAGCGTATCACATGTATGCGAATTTAATTCACACTTGCAAAGTATAATTGAATTAATTGACAAAACCAAAATGACAGTCAAATAAAATATAAAACTTGATATATTTCATTTTGGTTTTGTCAATAATACTTCAAGACATATTTACACCGGAAAAAGAATTTTTCTTTTTTGCAAATGTAATTGATCAAAAAGGGTTTTCTATGTAATATAATACCTGAGATGCTGGTATCTTTGTGCAATGTGACTTTTCCTTGTTCAACAACGTCGTTAAATGCCGGCCACCCACACCCCGAGTCGTATTTAGTATCAGAGTTAAAGAGATCTTCATGACACACTACACAGCCGAAAAAGAATTATAAAATATTGTATTTTAATTGACAAAATACCGGAAAAATTAAACTAAATTTGACAAAATAAAATACCCACCGATGCACTGATATACGCCAGTTTCATAAAATTTATTGTATTTTCCAGTAAACGGACGTTCGGTGCCAGCTTCCTGTGTAACTTGGTATTGGATGGGTGTTAAACGTTGTCGAAGCGCTTCTTTTGTTTCCATTTTGTAGGTGCTGAACGATCGACGGACAAACGTATTATATTTGAGGTAAATTGGTTCACTGTAGCTGACGGATTTGGTAATTGCTATATGATGAGGTTATCAATGCAGAGAATTTCTTTTTCAATTACAGCGATAAAAGTTTAAAGTGGAGTCATAAAAAATTAGTACTCGAGTTGATAGCTAATCTGTCATGCAACTTTGCATGTCGTAAATAAAAGATGTGATTGAGAGGAAGACAATAATAAAGAAAAGCGTGTTTCTTGGCCGACGTATGAATGCGAACTAATCATGAATCGTTGGAAAAACAATGTAAATAGAAAACGCTTGAAAAGTACAAATAAAGTGGTCGCTTTTGAATAGTACATCTCTGAAGACACAGTTGCCGATAACTGGAGTGAGTAAATGTGTGTATATTTATTCAATGTAATATAAATAGCACACACCGAGAGATCGTTACGCCATTCCCATTGAGCTTCGTAATGTGTATAAAAATATGCGATGTTGAAAAATAAGTAATTTCATTTTTAGATGAGTTTGATTGTAAACTTCAATGGCGCGCACGATCATCGGATTAAAATACAAATTATGAATCATAGTGATTGAAGCGCGCGATTCATCTCTTTCTCTCTCAACATCGAGAAATCAAGCCGATGATTTACATACGGTCTTTCCCAATCAATCGGAATCATTGCTCTCACTCATTATTTTCACTTACTTTTTTCTGTTCTAGAATTAATGGTCTGTGACGTTTTCAAACTAACTACGCATTTAAACTCATTACTCTTCGTTTTAAATATCCAGTACTATATTGTATTACTCTATGAATGATTCTCAATAAATCGATCATATTCTACTATAGACATTGTCGCACGTATACAGATTATGAAACAATATATATATTTGAAAAATATCAATCAAACGTCGTATGATTTAAACGTCGATAAAAAAAAATCAACGGAACTTAAAGCATTTGATTTCCTTTCACAATTGCTTGCATGACCCACTTTTCTTCATACACATAAAATCGAGCGTAGGCTTATCCAGAGCAAATACAATTTTCTTTCAATTTTTTCACGCACTTAGTGCGACAACCACTCTAAGACACTATGCTGTACATGATGAAACTAACCTGTATTTGCTATTTGGTTACTGCTACCTAATCGATTTACAATCTGTCGATATGTGGAATACTTGTGACGGCTAAAATTTTGAACCACGACACTAGATAACTTCCAAAAGCCAAATGACACCTTCACTGAACTCATTCGATGTTTTCGTTTCCTTGCTCAAAGTCTGTATGTGAAAAAAAACGTAAATAACATTAGTTCTCTTTCTATAATACTCGCACACACATACAGACACACGCATTTGCAATATGTATTGTTAAATAACCGCAACACGAAGTATTGTATATCATTGAACTTGTATTTTGTATAGAGTTTTAAGTATTGACAAACAAAATCCAATTAGAATCGAAGAAAACCTCTTTGCGTACATGCATGTATTTGTGTGTCGTCTGTGATGAGGGTTAATATGAATATTTTTCAAATGAATTGAATTCGCCACGAGATTTTTCAGAGAAAAACTTTTTCTTTCGTTTCTATTTAGGTGTGAAATATAAGTTACCGTGTCAATATAGAAATCTCTACAATATAGTAGCAACAGACCTATTTATAGACTTTCACCGAGTGACGAAATTAAAAAACAAACCATACAACACAACTATCAAATTGAATGAAGAAGTTACGTACATACCAATCACACGACGTTGAGCAACGACGTATGGTCGATGGTTTTTGTTTTGTTTGACAATTCTCGTATATTCCTCACAATTGTCTTGATCTCTTCGTTCCGTGCACATATAGTTGTTTCACTCGCACACAGAGCGAGACATGTACTATGAAAACCGATTCACATTTGAGCGCGCAATTTACGTTCAGTGGTGAAATTCGAACTGTCAATATTTTCAAGTTCGTGTGTTTAGTTTTACTCATTATTAATTCGTGCTAAAACACACGAATTTCTATTTAAAAAAAAAAATAAATAAATAAAAGATTTAAAATATTTTTTCATTTTTTTTTTGTCAGCAACAGTATTTTCATAGGAATAAGCGCTGGTGATTTTTTGTGCAAGAATTAAACAATATAAAAAAGTGGCTGCGTACTGTTACCAAACGAATTTCGCAATACCATCCATTGAACTGAACATGAGAAAGCATTCCGTCGCACTTAGACACACATGTACGTTGTTTCGACTCCTCTGTTCATCGTATTGGCAACAGTAACATGAAATTTATGCCGCCATAGCTATTTCAACAAATCTCAACGATAGACGTGCTGTGTAAGTCACTTGGATTTGAAACAAAAAAAGTGAGAGAAATACACAAATCGCCTCGTAAATTAATTTTATCGTACATAAAAAATAGTGAATCATACATACAACGTCTACTGAGGTTGTGTGATTAGTGAAAAAATATCACACCGAATTTTAAAATTAAGTGTAGTAATTATCCGTATTAAAAAGAAGGAGAAGATCACTCAATAAAGAAGAAAAAAACGATGTTGCGAACAAAGAAGGATGTCGACAAACATGTGCGTTCAACGCTATCAAAGTTGCGCGAAGATGAAGTAAGTAGAAAAAAAGATGTAATTTCTATTTGTAAAATTGCGTTCTTCTTGTTAGATAAAAAGAAATCATGAAAATTTTGTCACCTATTACGTTTGAATTTATATTTTACGTCAAACCAATTGAAACTTACATGACCTTCGGATGCTAAATTCAACATGAATTCATTCGAAACTCGACAAAAACGAAGTGATTCTGTCCATCGTTTAATGTTAAATTCGGTCTCATTTGCCAATAATGCAAAATGATTGAAAAACAGTTTTATGACAACAACGAATGAAGCGTTTCATTTGACAAAATGGACGAGTGATAGAAATGAATATAACCGGCATATACACAATGCACAGTACACAATGCATTGTGTTCAGTCTAAAAATATGTTTGTTTGTTTAGGGATTTTATCGTCGATTCTAATGGGATTTTATGTATTTTTTCCAACAATTTATTTATCCAAATCCAGTAAATTCATTAATATTTTCTTTTTCGTTTTGTGTGTTACACAGAGAAATCTTCGTGGCTATCGAATTGCTCAATTGTATTTCAACATCGGTGAATACAATTCGGCATTGGAATATATTCAACGTTATATACAAGCGAATGACAAAAATGCAGCCGCATACAAAGTCCTTGGTCAGTGCTACGAGAAGCTGAAGCGTCCCGATAAACAATTGTTTGCCTATCAGCGTTCATTGGAATTAGACAAAAAACAATCGGATTTATTGATCGAAATATGTAAGTTATTACAGAATAATGATCTTTCTGATGTAACACCGGCCAAAGCTCGACACTGGTATGAATTGGCTGAATCGCGTGGCATTCACGATCCGGCCGTGTTGAATTTGAAATTGAAATTCACCGATGGCACCGATCAAGGCATTGTACAGGATATGATTTTAAAAGAAATCGTTCGACGACCCCTTGATATTGGTTTGCACACTCGATTGGTGGATCATTTTTTGCAACAAAATCGCATCGATGAGGCTTTCAAATATGTGTTGGACATTGAAATGAAGCCAAACAATAAATTCCGAAATTCAACGGATTGGTATGCAGCGGTATCGGCCGTGCTTGAAAAATACAAAGCGAAAAATGCGGCCACATTGAATAAAAATTGGACATACTGGCTACAATTGATATCATCTATTGAACGTCAGTTGTTTCTCACATTGACCCGCTCTCCGAAAGATGTTAATGCCATTGATTACAATTTACTTGAGGCTACAAACTTACTATTTGAACTGGATCAAAACTTGAATAAAGTGGCCACAGCATGTTCATTCCCCGATTCCGAACGTGATTTGTTTGCCGATTTTTTAATACATTTCCGTGGTCAGTTTGCTCTTCATGCAGCATCATTACTGTTTAAACGGGCAATCGAAACATCTGTACGTGCGAATTTCCTTGAAACGACCAAAACCACATTACCATTACTCTTGTTGGCCTTCAATTTTGGTACAATCGATGGCAATCAGCTTTGGTTGAGAAACGCATCGGAAGCAACAAAACGGCTAATCGATTTATGGCAAGCACAGAGCAGTTTTCGTGTATTACAAGTGGCACGCACACTGCAATCTTGTATTTCAAGCGGTTCCAGCACTGAAAATGCCGTTTTGGCCAATTTACGAAAGATATGCACTGATAAGTACAGCGTTTGGTCGAATAAAGACGATGTACTGAATGAAATTCGATCAATTGTTGCTGATTCGGATTGGCGAAAAAAGTTATACCGTAACCTGTTTGTCACCAACAAAGAACACCAGAATGCAGTATCTGGATCGCATTTGGTTAAAAGTTCCGCATTCGAAAAACCAACATTCGAATGGCCAGATAAAAATAAATTAAATGCACTCGAATTGAAGGCACAAGAAGCCGATCCATCGAACTTGAGCCATTTGGTTTATTTGACACTTGGAAACAGTTTCGATCAAACAGAAATCACAATCGAACCTGATTTTAAATGTGGATTGTTTCAGAAGTTGAAATATTCCACGAAAAATTTGATAAACTGTAGTGCGGACACATTAAATCAACTTGACATTCATACATTCTTATTTGCCGCCACGTTGCAAACGAAACGAAGCATTAGCATGAATAATACATTGCTCGGAAGCAACGTTCCAACATTGGATACAAACAAACCGAAAATGTTACCATATACCAATATGGCAAACATTTTAGCTACCGAAGAACAAAGTGAATGGTGGACAGCAGCATACAAGGTATGTATTGTCAATACTATTGTGCATGTTTTTTTCGTCATTATTGTTTAAAAATGTGTATAAAATAAAGTTGAAAGAATTGACAAATTTTCATTGTTATTTACGTTTTTCGATTTCCATATGTTCTAACATTTGACAGATCTGTAATAATATTGGCGGAGAAGAATTGGGTGCATTAGGTACAACACTGGTTTATGGCATAGAGGCAGTACGGGGTGTTGGGTCAACAAAAATGGACCTCATTATTTTGCTAAATTTGGGTAAAGTTCTCAGCAGCAGAGTGGACAAGACTATGGTTAAAGAAGAACGGGAATTTTTGGAAGATCGTGTCGAAGCTTTGTTCAAGTTTTCGCTGTACGTTTTTCGTGTACAAAACAGCTCGCGTTCATCATCTGAGCCGTTCCGTCGTCTGTTCAAATATGTTGTCGGTAACAATTACTTTGAAATCGAACAAGATGTAAATAAATTGGCAGAGGAAGCGATCACATTCTTAGCTGGACGTTATTTTAAGAATAATGCATACGAAGAGTGCATTGAAGATTTGGCTGGAATCAAATTACCATTTGCCACATATTTCCAAGCTGAATCGTATCGCAAAATGACGGAAGTATCGGATACACCGAAGAAAAATAAGCGTACATATTTGGATAAAGCCAGAGATTATTTGAAGCAAACGGTTGATTTGTTGGAGGGGCCAAATATTGAAAGAAACCATCCATTGAAATCGATAATCGATGAGGATATCAAGCGATTGCAAAATGAAACTCGCAAATTCGAAACGAATCAAAGTATGAGTGATAGCTTTGTTAGTGCAAATGGACGAAGCGATTTGGAAGAATCTGAACGAGAAACAGCCACACCTGTACCGAACCTTGGTTACAATAATATTGAACGATTGATCCGTAAAATCATGGAATCGCTGAACATTTTAACTAGCGACGTCAATGATGTGCGCTATCGTGTGCAACACATCGAAGATGATGTGACTGATGTGCGTAATCGTGTTCAAAACATTGAAGAAAATTTCAACAAAGAAGATATTGACGATGTGGAAACTATGGATGATAATTATTTGAATTTGGAGCTGCATAATCAAAATCAAAATTTGAATAATACATCGATGATTGTGCACCCAAATCGAAGTCAAACGTTGAACCAACAAACACCAAAATCGTCACAAATGCCCAACACTGCAGGCAAAAATTCATTTCCAACATCGCATCAACATCAAATGGGTTTAAACAATTCGTTTGGCAACATGAGTACGATGATGAACAATATGTATGGTACAATGCCGTTGAATCCATCAACATATCAAGCGGCACTTATAAATGCAGCCGTCAGTCAATCACCACAAATGGCAGCATCAAATTACTCACAACCACCAATGTTACCGTACAGTAATGATATGTACGCTTTACAAGCATTATATGCTCAACAAATGCTTGGTGAAGCCCATAATCCGAATTTGATGGCATCCATGATGATGCAACATCAACCACAGCAGCAACACAATCATCCGCTATCAAATCAACCAGCGGCTCAACAATATGCAATGGGCAGTCCATCTGCATCGAGTATTGCATCATCAGTACCGCAGTCTTATCAACAATCAACACCACTTAATTCATTTATGAAACCAGGAACATCTGCATCGCAAACACCGCCACAAAACCAATGGAATACATCAATTAAAAATACGCCCGTCGAAAAAGCACCACCGGTAAATGTGGTGATCACAAGTTCTGATCCATTACCACAAAATCTTTCAGCAATTCCAACACAATCGTCGCTAAATTTCAGTGTTACCATTCCACCGCAACACATAAAAAACAATCCGACCACATCGACATTTGGTGCCGCCTCAGCAAATCCAACCATCACAGCTGCATTGCAAGATAAAAAAATAACCCAATCACCAATTCACATGAATGTCAGCGCAAAAACAATTACATCTACAGCAACTGCACCGACAACTCAAGAACAGAAGACGATTTTTGGCAATTTATCATCCAAACCACTATCATCCACTCCATTCTCATCGCCAACCATAAAACTGACATCAGATTTAAAGCAAACAGAAACACCAACATCAGAAGCAGCCAAACCAAATCCGTTTGCATCATTTTCATTTGGCGTCCAATCTTCAGTTGCATCATCAACTGCAAATCAATCGAAACCGTTTTCATTCAGCAGCAGCATTGGACAATTGAAGAAAACCGAAACATCAGCGTTGGTAAATGCCGCAACACCGGAAACTCCAAAACACAATCAAAACGATGCAAATACTTCGGCTAATTCGGCCAAAGATGATGAAGACGATTACGAACCGACCGCCCATTTCGAGCCAGTCATTCCATTACCAGAATTGGTTGATGTAAAAACGGGCGAAGAAAATGAAACAATCTTGTTTGAACATCGCGCTAAATTGCTTCGTTATGTAAAAGAATTGAAAGAATGGAAAGAACGTGGCATCGGTAATATGAAAGTAATGGTCAGCAAAGATGATCCAAACAAAGTTCGACTATTGATGCGACGTGAACAAGTGTTGAAATTGTGCTGCAATCAATTGCTGGCAAAGAACACCAAATTCAATAAGATGCCAAACACAGAGACGGCATTAACGTGGTTCGGTCAGGATTATTCGGAAAATGAACTTCAAGTGGAAATGTTGGCAATTCGCTTCAAAACTGCTGAAATATGTAAACAATTCTATGCAACAGTTTTAAGTGCGCAAGCTAATATGACAGATGGCCGTTCACAACCGGTCAAATCATCATCGATCCAGGCGTCGGCTGTTGAAAAACCATCAAACAAGGTTGACACCACAGGATTTGGCGATAAATTTAAACCAAAACCTGGATCATGGTCATGCAAATCATGTTACACGCAGAATACAGCCGAATCAGTTTATTGCGCATGTTGTGAAGAACCGAAAGACGACACAGTTCCGAAGAAGGAGAAAGCAAACATTCTCGGTTCAACAAATGGTAAGCGTAAAACTTTTACGTGTTGTATTTGCTTTATTTTTATAAATTTCAATAATTTTTCAATTCTTTTGGAACGTGTAACTCCTTTCACTCTAGCTACCACATCAAAATTCAGTTTCGGTACTCTCTCCAGTGCTATGGGTGGTACAAAAGTAGCCGGTTCTGCTGCTCCTCCAACCCAAAGCACATCTGCCAAGAATGAAGCAGCAAAATCGTCTGATAAAGGATTCGGTGACCAATTCAAACCCAAACCAGGATCATGGTCGTGCAAGGCATGCTATACATCGAATGCTAGCGAAGCATTGCACTGCGCATGCTGTGAAGAACCAAAGGACGATACTATTCCGAAAAAGGAAAAGGCCAATATTTTTGGTTCATCAAACGGTAAGTAGAAAATGCTAAGCTTGTTTTTTGTTTTATTTTTTTTTTCAGTTTAAATATAATGTTTAAAAAATTTTCGTTGTAGCTGGCGCATCAAAGTTTAGTTTCGGTAATTTGGGTAGCGCTCAGAGTACAGCTCCAACATTTAGTTTTACGTTTGGTTCACAAAATCTTACCGCTACCACTACACCAGCGCCAACATTCAATGCGACTGAACCCAGTGTTCCACAAATAGATTCGAAGAAGGAATTCAATTTTGTATTCAAAGGAAAGAGTCCTGGAAAACAAGCCCTTAATACTACACAGGAGCTTGAGCTCGTTTCGGATGATGAAAATGTTGAAGAAGAAGAGAACACCGCATATTTTGCGCCAGTTATCCCATTGCCCGATAAAGTTGAAGTGAAAACCGGTGAAGAAGATGAAAATATCCTCTATTCACATCGTGCAAAACTGTTCCGTTTCCGTAATTCAGAATGGCGTGAACGTGGTCTAGGCGACATTAAAATTTTACAACACAAGCAAACCGGTCAATTGCGGTAAGTTTATTTTTTTTGTTTGCAGAAATTGTGAATTAAAATTTATGGATTTTTTTCTTCTTTTTTTCAAATTATTTCTGCATTAGTGTTGTGATGCGACGAGAACAAGTGCACAAGATCTGCTTGAATCATATTTTAACATCAGATATCGAATATAAGGTCAAAGATCCAAAATCATGGCAATTTATTGCAAATGATTTTAGCGAAGGAACATATGAATTGGATAATTTCTCTTTGCGTTTCAAAACCGAAGACATTTCCAAAGACTTTAAAAGGGCAATTGACGCAGCACTGTCGGGTAATGCGCCGAAAATCAATGGCAATGATAATGATCAAACGGACACTGTTGCAAATGAGGAAAGTAAAAGACTTGCTGAGCTCAAACTGCCCAATAATTACTACGACTATAACAAAAATGAAGATTGCAAAGGTTGCCGTGGCTGCAGAGATGATTTTGTATTTTCTGAAGTGAAACATACAAATTTTGGTCAATTCGATGACAATCCGCTACCACTGAGTCCACCATCAAAAGTTGAATTGGCTCACAATGATTTATCCAAAGACACGAAGAAGGTGGACAATAAGAATTCATTCTCGTTCGCATCGGTTGGAAATGATAGCGCAAGCAATGGATTCAGTTTTTCGTCAACGGCAAATAACACAACGTCAACGGGCATGTTCTTTGGTAGCAGCAGTTTCAAATCACCATTCTCAGCAGCTACAACTACCAACGAGAAAAAAGATTCAACAAATACCACACCAGTATTTGGTCAATCGAATTTGTTTGGTGGAAATGTTGTAAAGACATCATCAGCTGAACCAGCAAAATCAACACCAGTATTCTCGTTTGGAGTATCAACACCGGCATTTGGAAACAATGGTATTATTGCTATTAATTTCACATTTATTTTGCAATTCTAAGTCCTTTGTTTTTCTTCTTTTCATCAGGCGAGAAAAAGTCACCATTCTCGTTAGAAACAGCAACAAGTACAAACCAAGGTTAGTCACGAACTTTTACACATTCTATGTTTTTTGTTAAACAATAAAATTAGGCGGTTTAAAGAAATCAAATGGAACAAAAATTAAATCTTTAATAACAATTGAACATTTTACTTCATTTTCGTAGATAAACCGACTGAATCTAAGCCACTCTTTGGAAGTACGGCTACATTTGGAACGAATAATGTCATAACTTCTCCGGCCACAAATTTATTCGGCGGCAGTACAAATGGTACAAACGATACTTTCGGATTTAAATTACCAGCATCGACAACTGTGACGCCATTCACTACAAACCAAACATCGTCACCAAACACCGACACCGCACAAAAACCATCAGTTTTTGGTAGCGCAACTGGTATGTCTTTTGCCGATCTTGCCAAAAGCAATGGCGATAACAGCGAACCATTTTCATCATCGAGTACTGTAAGTTTTGCTGCATTGGCACAAAACAGTTCGAATGGATCCACAACATTTGGTAAATCCACACCGACCGGCGGTTTCTTTGGTTTATCGAATAAGGATACGTTTAGCAATTTGATGGCACCGCAGAATGGCACCAATGGAAATAATCAAAATTCAACGCCTCAAATCGATGACGGTGAAAATCACACAGAAGATGCCAACTACGATCCACACTATGATCCAATCATTGCACTACCGGATGAAATTCAAGTTAGCACAGGGGAGGAAAATGAAGAGAAATTGTTCAGTGAACGGGCCAAACTCTATCGTTTCGATTCAGTTAACAAAGAGGTAATTTCTAGCGAATTTCAATTCACAGTTTCATTTTTTTAAAATCATTTTCGAAATTTTAGTGGAAAGAGAGAGGTGTCGGCGAATTCAAAGTGTTGCACCATCCAGTTAACAATTCCTATCGTTTGCTGTTACGTCGTGAGCAAATTCACAAGCTGGTATTGAACATGGCATTGAGTGCTGACCTACAAATCAATTTCATGAAGCAGAGCGATAAGGCATTCATTTGGGTGGGCCAAAATTTTGCAGAAGAACAAGAGAATGGTGAACTTGAAAGTCTATCAGTTCGATTTAAAAATGCCGATCTAGCAACAAAATTCAATAACGTCGTGCAAAGTTGCATCGAAAACCTGAAAGCTCGTTGAAATAAAATGCGATAAACGCATCCAGATTTTACGAAAATTTCAATCAATGTTATTCTTTTTTATTTTTTAAAAAGTTTTTTCATCATATAAGTTACACATACACGCAAAAAAAAATCAAATCTGTGAAAAGCGCCTCTTGACTTTTGATAATTTTCAATTGAGTGCTGTAAAAACAAAACTTGTTTAAACAAAATTACGAAACGAAAATGAAATCTTAATTGCTATTTTAAGGAATTTAGGTCAATAGGATATAGTTTAAGAGTTCCTTTCAAAAACGATACATTTAAGTAACAAAAAAAAACTATATAAATTGCAAAAAAAATACATTCTGGCAAATAAAATTCATAATAATTCTGAACCTGTTACAAATTTCATAAAATGTCTTTTTTAATCATGTGATTCGAATGGTTTTCTCAAAGGAATTTGCAAAAGTCATAATGATCAAAGCAGTGAAATGCGGCGAAATGGCCAGAGAACAGAGCGGAGCATTGTGCTAATTGGTGGAATTACGGCGAAGAAAGTCATTTGGTTGGTGTTGTTAGTTCCGTTTCTTATGTTCACGTTTTTTTTAATTTGTTCTTGTCGTCTAGATAAAATGTACATACACATAGAATCGCATACACATGCCAAACAATATGTCCTCGTACTCGTTTTTACATCCAGCCGAAGACACAACAACGTCTTGTTACACACGTCGCTTTGTCTCTTTCGTATAAAGAATTAGACTATCGTTCACATATATCGTCGATGAGAGTCGCAAACAAGCGACCGAGTAGAAACAACGACAACAACAACAACAACAATAAAACCATATACCGAATACACAAACCCCAATACAGATGCATGCATACAAAAACGAAAACTGAATTCATTCGGCAAGCGTGCGTGAGAATGTGTGTGTTGGGCGCATATATACATCTATAATTCACCTTTGTATGCGTGTGCATGGATGTGTCTTGGATTTTGTGTGCACATTTTTCTACTGAGTGAGTTATAGTATCTTGGTAGTGTATTGTAGAACACACTTATAGTAAAATAAAGTGATTTCTCGTAATTATTTCGGCGTTGTATTAGATTTTGTGAAATGAGATTCTTTTTTTTCCTTCATTGTAAATTTGTAACTTGATTAAATGCCGAGAGAAAAAAAATAACCCTAACCATTTTTTTAAAAATAAATTCGTAATTTCGGAATTGAAAAAACTAACGAGGCAAGTGTTTAGGTGGCATCCAGAGAAAAGATCGATCGATAAACAGGCAATCACTATATGAACAAATTTCATCGTCCATATTATTGAGAAATAATATAGCGGACATTTAAAATAAAAATCATCGGTACCCAGATAACCAGAAAACACACGGTCCACACTGTATATAGTTCATACAGAGAATGGAGTCGAAATCGCGTTAAATCGCTTGAAAGTAATAAGTTTTCATTGAATGAATAAGTCATTATATCTGTCAAAGGTTTGTTCACACATTCCATATATTGGATTGCCATTTTTCAGCACTCTCTTGCATTTGTAAAAAAAAATCATATTTATTTTCGATTCTACTCCATCCATCATTTTATTCGTTTTTTAATCAATAATTTTTCTTATAATTTACTTTTTCAGAATTGCTGAGTACATATCGCATTGCTACAGATGTGCAGAAAATATTGAGATTTTTTCATATTGGCTGGGAAACGCAGTAATGATTGAACACATCCTGCAGTAAAATGAAATCGAGGATTTATTACTTGTTTGAATAAAATTCAACAATATTGTGCAGATAAAGCACTTTAAATCGCATATTAAAATAAACAACTAATTAAACGTAACAAGTCAGGTATGAAAACATGCATTATGGCTTTGAGTTTTTTTTTTTTTTTTCAATAATAGTGACATTACTAATTCATTTTCACTTTTTTTCGCCCCAAAATCAGTCAAAAGCAAGACAAAATTCTTTTGAAAATTCATATTTCAAAAATGAAATCAACATTTTATTTCAAAAAAATTCTTGTGTTACATAAAAAGCGAGCAGATATGGTCACTGAATATAGATGTGTCGATAGCTTTATATTTTTAAAATTCAATTTTTGTGGATTTCAATTTGTTGTATAAAGTTTATTGTCCCATTTTTCTTGAATCATTTCAAATGCTTATGATATATAGGAAAAGGTCAATATCAAAATATAGAGAGTTTTTGCAAATATAAATGCTTGCGCACATTTCAATAATTTCTTGCGACAAAGAAGCATGCATGATTCAAAAATTCGTTTAATATTTATGAAATATGGAAAAAAAACTTGTAGAGAGCAAGAGTTACCACAAGCAAAACTCTAGATTTGCATTTTTTTCTAAAAATTCGGTACTGCAATTATATTGATTGAAATATAAACATATTGTCCCTTATTGAATTTAATCAGGGCTGTAATCTATGCAATAATCTAAACAAGATAAAAAAGTAGTGTGTATGTGTGCATAAAAAAGTGGCATTCGGCTCGACTTCGGGTGTGCGTATCTTGTGAGATCCGTGCTACTGCGCCGATTCGGTTCATACCATAAAAAAGTATTGAGAGAAAAATTTGTTTTTTTTTTTTTTTAAATTAATACAAAGAAAAAAATCGTAAAATGTTCATTGTGTTGTTTGCACACAGAGACTAAATTATGTTGGGCGCTTTTTGTGTATGACATATTGACTTCATTTAATATTCTCATATATATACACAGTTGTTGTTGAACATTGTTCTAATGAAACAACGTAATCTGTAATGTAAATGGCGCAATGTGTATATTCACTTCCATTTCGTTCGATGAGTAGAGAGACACATACAAAATGAAAATCATATATAGATATTTGTTTACGGATAGCTGTTACCGATGAATGCATACATACAAACATGCATATACGCAATGACCGATTCAGTTTAGAATTAAAACACACGCTCGTTGTTCCTTTATTTGTTGTGCCTATTTTTCCTCACCGTCGGTCACATTTTACGAAGAACGACTGAACTGAGTCCACCTTCAATTGAATCATAAATTCGACAGCAATAGCAACAAAATTGACACAGTTAGTGCTGTCTATAACAAATGATTTAAGCATTGAAGTTTGTCTGTCTGGATGCATCGAAAAAATTAAATAACACGCATTTATTCATCAGCATTGTTCTGTAATCGGAAGAAAGAGTGAAACAAATAAGACAAAAAAAAAGAACGCAAAACCCATCTGTTTGACACATACATTGAAATCAAAGCTATCGCAATTTTATGCTTATAATATTTTCATTATATACGAGTATTTTAAATGTTACTGCTTAAAATTCCATTCAAGACTTACGTGCTTAAAAAATTGTTGTTTCTATAGTTATGAATGTTTATTTTTACTTCATGATTCATATTAATGACTATGACGATATTTAATTAAAGAAATTGTTATATTTTTCAGAACATGGATGAAGAATCAAAATTGGAAACGGTATCGGATATCGATGAGATCGAAAAGGAGAAAGCCATCGAATCAATAGTACTGCATACAAGCACAGAAGATAATTGTAAAGACGATTTTGATGAGTCGTTTATTCCAAATGGATCTAATTATGGAAATTTTTCACATAGTCTATACGATGCTGATGAATCTATGAAGAGCACAGATATTGAAAATGGCAACCAAACGGTTGAGTTAAAAGAAACACTTTTGGACTCAGCCTCAGTGGATGAGAAACAATCAGAAAGTATTGAGAATGTATCGCAGTCACCGTTAAAATTAGATTCAGAGCCATTGCCACACGAAAAAACCAATCAGGTGATCATAGAAAAACCAGCCGAAACTAATCCCATCCAAATGTCACCACAATCCAATCTAAATAAAATACTGTATGTAAAACTCATGCCACGAACCAACGTCCAGCCTGTCATTGTATCAACAGCAACCGAATCACAATCACCGCCGAAATCCATTCCGATTTCGACGGTGAAAAGCAAACAATCACCAATAAAAATGACAGTGCAAGAGCCAACCACATCAAATCTTAGCAGCAATGCTGGTGGAATGACACCAAAAACTCTTGGTCATACTGTAAATTTACTAAATAATAATCGAATTTTGATAAAAAGTGTGAAAAATAATAACCATACAAATACATGTGCCCAACAACCAACATCAACATCATCATCATCATCATCGTGTGCATCAGTAATAAAGACTTCGGCAGAATCGACGACGATGACAGTTGATGATAAAATTGAAAATTCGCCGTCTTTCATTAAAAACAATGAAATTGTAGACGTAAAACAACAAACAAAAAATGTTACAAATGAAAGCACATTGCATGTCATGAATGTAGAAAAAATCGAAGAAATTGACCAACAAGAGCAAGTTAAAAGTAAGTTGTCGTTCGAAATGAATAGAGGGCCAATCGATGATTGTGAATTGGAAATAAAAAAAGAGCTATTGTCGAATAAAAACAGTATTGAGCAGCAGCAGCAGCAACAACACATGGTCGATGACATAAAAATCAGTAGTCATACAATTGAAGACGATGATGACGGCCGAATTTTAGTGTCGGCAAAAAAAATCAAACGCGAATTTGAGCAATTGCAAAAAACAGTAAACGAATCCAAAGTACTATCTGAATTTATAATTGAACATAGTAAACGTGAACGTCGTCCAACAAAGTCTGGAAAATCAAAGCACAAGTACAACAACAGTTTAACTGAAATTAGTAATAGTTCAGCCGATGAAAAGTTTTCGACACCCGTGAATCGAAGTTCCAGCCCATCTTCAAGCAGTGTTCGCAGTATGTCGAAAGAAAGTGACAGATCTGTCACAAGTAGTTTTAATAGCAGCACCGGAAAAAGAAACACTAGATCGATGAATACGGATTTTTCGGCCAAACAGAAGCAATTTTTGAAAGGAATTCAACAAGTTACGCGGGGCACGGATGACGAAACTGACAATAACAGTGGCGTTGATGACGATGACGATGATTTGGACTATTTTACAAAGCAACAACCAAACATCATTGAACGTAGAAAAAGCACAGCGGTCAATAAGCAATCATTCAACGTTGATTCGAAGGCAAATGAACTCAAAGTAAATATATACATTTCATAATCAATGATGAACATTAAACGATTCAAATATCTGTACATTCATGACATTCTTGCCTTTTTTTATTACAGACTGGATGGGATAAATATTGTTGGCGTTGCCATCAACTTGACACAAACCTATTTTGCTCAACCTGTGTCCGATCGTATCATGCGAACTGTTTGAAAATGAAACAACTCTCGCCAGCTGAAATGGCTAAATGGCCTTGCCCCGAATGTGTTGAAATTAAAATTGCCGATAAAGAGAATAAGAAAAAGTAAGAGACACTGCCACTGTTAACCTATTCAACTGATTGATAATTAATAATACTTTTGATTATCATTTCAGGAAATTTGATGTGAAACACTTCAATAAACTGTTGAAATATGCCATGAATCGAATATTGCAAGATCCCAATGTAAGATATAGTTGCTATGTTGCTAAGCGTATTCCTTTTTATTTTTTTAAAATGACGTCGGCGATTTTAATGTATTTTTTGTCTCTTTCCTCTTCAACAGCTTCAACAATTTCAATTTCCTGTGAACAAAACTCAAAATCCAGGATACGCTGATGTCATAGTCAATCAGATGAATTTGAGTAAAATTGAAAACAACATCGATAATTTGATGTACACAAATTCAGAAGCATTTTTATCAGATATAAAATGGATTTTGCACAATTGCAGCATTTATTTTTCGGGTATGTATTTGTCCCTCGACCCAAACTTTCGTCCGCTGTGATCTATCACATTCTAATGTTACATTATTATTCATTGAATTGTTATTGTCAATTTAAATATCAAATGTTTATAAAATCGTAGATAATTACAAGGTGACCAGAGCGGCAAAATCATTGCAAAAAGTAAGCAAACAAGAAGTTGGCGATATTGAAACCTGCCCCGAATGCTATCTCAATGCAAATACAATGACAGACAATTGGTTTACAGAAACTTGTGTTAAACCGCATCTGATTTTATGGTAATTTTTTTTAATTCACGTACCTTTTATTTTACGTTACATATTATTATATATAACCATATACATATAGGGCCAAACTCAAAGGATTTCCGTATTGGCCGGCCAAAGCGATGTCGATTAATTCAACATTGGTAGACGTACGATTTTTCGGTGAACATGACAGAGCAAATATTCCGGCAAAAGATTGCTTTTTATATTCGCGTGAAGATCCAAATCCACCGACAAATAAATACAAACGGAATACCATTGCCGATTGTGTCAAGGTGAGCATTAATTGTCCAGTTTATTTTAAAAGTCATTGTCTAAAGATTACCGGTGTTGTATTGTCGTAAATTTTCCTTTAACAAATTGTTTTCTTTTCCTTCGATTAAAAAGGAAGTGGACGTATATATCGAGAACATAATAGCAAAATATGGCCAGTTCAATTACGCCGAATTAAAAACACCGTTCAATCCCCAAATGGCTGAACAACATTTAATTGATATGATACCAGGTTTGCGAAGTGTACGTGGTCGTCGCCGTAGCAGTACAGCACGACCGGATTTAACTTTAAAAATTGTTAAAACCGCAGACAATAATTTATCCGTTGTGAAAAAGGACCAAATCGCAAAGGAATTGCCACAAATTAAACGAACAGTCGATATAACGGGCGAAATTGCTGTCTCGCGTACACCAACACCACCATCAGCCGTTTTATCTCGTCGAAAAACCAGCGACACCCGAATTAAGCGCAGCAAATCAACCAATCGGCATAGTGATGGAAAACTATCAACACTCGATCATAAATCGTATCAAGTGATGCGACGGAAGAGTATGGCAGTTGAAAAACTCGATCAAAAACGTAGAAGTGCCATTCATTCCAAATTGGATTTGAATTCAGCCAATGAATCACCGGAAGTGAGCTTTGTTCGTTACAATTCACAATCGACAAACGAACGAGTTGAGACTGATTTGATTGTGAATGCCGCGGCTACTGCTGCTGCTTCTACTGCTGCTGTAGCCAAGAAAACCAATAAAACCACAGCCAAAAAGAGAAAATTATCGATCGATAGTTCAAATAGTTCCACAAAGGCAAACGATGCAGCTGAAATGCCAGATAAATTGCAGAAAAATGCAAGAGTCGATGATCCAACCACTTCGTCAAATTTGAAAGAAAAAATTGAAGAAAATTCCTTTATCGAAACAAATATTTTGAGTAGCGTTGGTTTGGTTAAGAAACTTTCAGCACCAGATCGGGCACAACAACAATTGGTTGGCAAGAAGATTAGCACAACTTCGAAATCAGTTCAAAACAAAAACTCCACATGTGATACAGAAGATAAACGAACGCTTGATGGTGCTGCACGTACGCGTCGTGATACAAAAATCCAACGGATTGGAAGTAAAGATGATTCATCGCCAATTCTGTTGGTGCCATTTATTGATATTAAAAGAGAGCCAGAAATAAATGAAAACAATGCTGTGAATTCATTGGGCAATCAAACACCGTCAGCATCTCAAACACCAATCTCTTTAATAAGTTCAAATGAAAATACGCCAGCCAAAAATTATGCATGTTTTGATGAGAATTTGACAAGCATTAAAACGGAAACCAGTTCTGATGATGATAGTTTAATGATTATTGAGGACGATTTATCAACTAGTACAAATTCACCAGCGAAGTTAACGTCAACCGTTAGTGATAGTCGAGTTCGTGGCTCAATTTCAGTGAAAGATATCAACAAAATGACGTTACAGAATCAACAGCAAAATGCACGTAAAACTTTTCCAAAAGGTCCGTCGTCGTCGAATGCCACAACATCAATACTAAAACCGCGTGCAAATACACTAGTTAAACCACCAATGAATCAAACAAATATGGTGTGTATTCCATTAGATGGTTTGCCGCGACTTGATTTGACATACAATTCTACAAAACCGCCACCATTATCTGTTGTTGGCAGTGCAAACAGTGTTTCGTTGCTCACACAAAATCAGCCATTATCATCGGTGACATCGACATCAAATTTAAATGGACCGCCACCACTGTCGATTACCTCAATATCAGCTATACCAACTGTGGTTAGCGTAAGCCAATCGCTACTGAATCCAAATTCAATCAATACCATTTCCAATGGAATGATTACCGAATCATTGGCATCGGCTGTAACCGATCAAATAATCCGACGAAATCCGCCACAATTAACACATCGTCCAGTTGCGCCACTTCGTTCTGAATGTGATTCAGCCTTTCCAAGTGAGGCTGGTTCATTGTGTAAAACTCTCATGGAAAATGCACATAAAATGACCGATTTCTTTCGATCGGTCATCGAAGATACGCTTGGCGATTTAGCGAATATGTCAAATCCAGAGGCAAAAATACGCCTATTAGAACTTGAAATGGAAAAACAGAAAAATGCGCATGCAAAAGAAATTGCCGATATTAGAGCAAACACTGATCGACTACTCAGTGAAATGAAGAAAAACATGGAAAAAGAGCGAACACGGGTGGTTAATGAAACGCGCAAACAATGCGAAATGGAGCGAATCCGATCCATGGACGAAACAAAAAAGAAACAATGGTGCGCCAATTGTTTGAAAGAAGCACAGTTTTATTGTTGCTGGAATACATCTTATTGTTCATATATATGCCAACGAAAGCATTGGTAAGTACTCATCACACACACCCAATTTGAATAATTTCCAAATATTGTTTTATTGACTTTCTTTGTTATGATTCGCTTTTGAAGGGAACAACACATGACGACTTGTGTTCAAATGGAAGCATCCCAGAACGTGCAGAATGTAAGGCGCTAAATCATTTTACTACTCTTCAGTAGCTTGTAATTTTTTATTTTTGAAGTATAAAAATTATTCTGATTTACAACTGAATAAATTCAAAATCTTTGCGTTTTAGTCACGAAAAACCAACACAAAAACCTCATCCAAATCAGACGTGAGGATTCAACCACAAGCACAAGTATCGCAGCATCAAAAGTCACAAGTTTCAATTCAAAACGATAATTTGAATGTATCTGCCAATCGTGCAACTGTATCAGATGCAATACGACCACCAAATAGTTTTGGTGTGGTGCCAGGTTTGCGTAATATTTTACCGAAAAATGCACTCGTAAGTTTGCTAATACCATTTTAGATGAAGTCAATAATAAAGTGGTAAATGAATATTATTTTCCCTTTTAGACTTCCATGGTTCCGTCACACGGCATTCAGTCGCGTAACATAAGTCAAGGTATTCAATCGCAGGCAAAATCAGCGTTACCGAATCAGCAATCTTGTATCATTGTTGGTCGATCACTTCCAAATTGGGCTAGTACTGCATCCAAATCTCTGCTACATTCGAATGCGATATTTTTGCCAACATCATCCCAGCTCGCAACGATTACAAGCGTACCATCAGGTCCATCGTCAGGTGTTTCCCTTTTAACCTCTTCACATGCACAGAGTCGAAAGTCGAACACAACTGAAACCATCATCATACCATAAGATTCATAACAAATAACAAACAAGAGAAAAATGGGAACTATTATTTTCATTATAAACAATTTCAACCTCTTAGGCTAAACAATTCGTGTTAACGATCAAATTAATCAACTTAGGACACATTTTTTTTAAATCATCATTTATAACTCCATATATATTTTTCAAGGAATTTTGTTTTGGTGCCGAAATTGCAATGTTTTTTTTTCTAACAATTAGTTTGAACTCAATCATTTAGTTCAAGTGAACTAAAAAAACGGTCATATATATTTTGAATTTAATACATTATATTTGCAAGTTATTTGAATAATCAAGTTTGATAAATTGAATTGACCTGAACTATGTATATTAAGGTATAAATTTTTCCAAAATGGAAAGAATGAAAAAACAATTCGGAAGAATCATAATAATGATA